TTTTTACAAGTGAATATTTAGGTTTTTCAGAACCATTTATTGAAAAGATACATTTTCTTCATTAATATCCTGTTGTTTACAGAGGTTTGTTCCTGCTAACGGCATGTGTTAGAAGCTTGATCCTCAATGTATTGTTGTGAGGTAGTTGAACCTTTAGGAGGTAAAGCCTGGTGGGAAGTAATTAACTCATTGTTAATTAGTCGTGAATGGACTAATGCTTTTCTGGGTTAGTTCTCTCAAGACTTAGGTCTTCTACGAGTGAGTTAGTCTTTTCAAGATTGGATTAGTTACGATGAGAGAGAGAGTTGCTCTAAACCAGGCCAGGCTCCCTTCCATATCTCTTTTGCATTAATGTTTTCTCTTTGCTGTCTCTTCCACTCCACCATATGGTGACATAATATGAGGCCCTCCAGAAAATAAATACATACTGACATATGCTCTAGAACTTCCCTGTCCTCAGAATTGTGAGCCAAAATGTTATATAGAGCACTATCCTCTGAGCCTAATAGCTGTCATTTTCATTAGAAGAGACCACTGAGACTGGGCATATTGTTAACATTCCCTCAAAAGGAGTGCATGGGAGAGTCTTTGAATCTTCTCCTGAGATTGCCTAGTGGTTTGAAATTCTACTCTAGTTGATGGCCTTGTGGTCTGAGGAGTTGTTAGAGTATTTAGCGGATAGAAGGTTAACTAAAGGAGAGACATGGCCTATGCAGCTGCAGGGAAGTCACCATTCATGCTAGGGTGAGACATTTAGGTGGTGCCACTGCTTTGGAGTCACTTACGCTCCTGTAGGTAATTTGCCATCCACACTTTGTAAATAAGCTCCATAAACTCATTGGTTCCCCAAGTTGAACTTTGGTAGAATTGTACTTTGGCTTGCCTTTGGAAGCCTATAAGGAAGAAGTAGAAGTTTATGTCTTCCGCAAAGCCAGTTAACTGCTTGACAAAGTATCCAAGCATAACAGGGTAGTGGTGGATGGTGGTGGTGCACACCTTTAATCCAGCACTTAGGAAGAAGAGGCAGGTGGATTTCTATGAGTTTGAGGCCAGCCTCATCTACAGAGTGAGTTTCAGGACAGCCAGGGCTATAAAGAGAAACCCTGTCTGAGAGAGAGAGAGAGAGAGAGAGAGAGAGAGAGGGAGGGAGGGAGGGAGGGAGGGAGGGAGGGAGGGAGGGAGGGAGGGAGGGAGGGAGGGTGGGTTTTTGAGTGGTGCTATGAACAATTGTTAAAACAAATGTTAACAATTGTTATAGTACTGTCTTCTAATTCATTTGTGCCTTTATTTCTTCTTTTTCTTGGTATTTTGTAGTTTTCATATATAGTCTTACAGTTTTCTTTCTTGGTTAAGTTTACTCCTATATACACTTTTTGACACTTTTATAAACTGAATTGTTAATTTCCTTTTGGCATCATACATTGTTGGTACTTAGCAACCCAACTGATTTTATTGAGTTGAATTTGTATTCTGTACCTTGCTAAATTTCTCTCTCTCTCTCTCTCTCTCTCTCTCTCTCTCTCTCTCTCTCTCTCTCTCTCTCTCTCTCTCTCTCTCTCGCTCTCGCTCTCTCGCTCTCGCTCTCTCTCGCTCTCTCTCTCGCTCTCTCTCTCGCTCTCGCTCTCTCCTGGAACTTGCTCTGTAGACCAGGCTGACCTCGAAATCACAGAGATCTGCCTGCCTCTGCCTTCTGAGTTCTGGGATTAAAAACTTGTGCCACCAATACCTGGCCCTTAAATTTGTCTTTTTTGTGTATGGATTGTTAGGCTTTTCTCCATGTAAGCTCAATATTTCTGCAAATGGAGATACTTTTACCTCTTCTTCTCATTATTTTCTTACATTGCATCTATGACTTTGATGCCTATGTGAAGCTACCATAAGTCTGATGCTAATGGTGAGATTTTCACTTATGCCATTGGTTATACTGAATATAGAATATAATGTATCCTTTTAGTCTTAGTCTGCTAAGATGAACAAAGTTCTGCACCTGCTGGCATCCTTCTGCATTTCCAAGAGTATATGGGGAGCTTTTCGGTGTTTTATGGGTCTTCTCCAGTTTGTACTGTTTTTGTTTTGGTTACCTTCTTTTCCCCCTAGTAGTTACTGATATTTCTGGCTGCTATATTATTAAATACTACTAGTAATTTTTTAAAAAGTGCTTTGAATAAAAGGCTGTTTGTAACAGTCAGGTTCTTAGATAAAATAAGCATGCTATGCAAGTAGGAATTTTTAGGTATCTTTTAGAATGATTAGATAATGGTTTATCTAGAATGTGGACTTTGAGGGAGCTTCATGGCTTTTGTTTTCTGATCCACTCATTGCAAGAATGTTTCTATAGCTTTCTTAATTGCTAGCATGCTGGCTGGCCAGCCTACTTGCCTGCCTGCCTGGGGCTTCCTGCCTGCTTGTCTTCCTTCCTTCCTTCCTTCCTTCCTTCCTTCCTTCCTTCCTTCCTTCCTTCCTTCCTTCCTTCCTTCTCCATTTTACCCCTTTTATTGAAAATAGATTTTTCCCTCATATAATACAACCTTATTATGGTTTCCCCTCCCTCTTCTCTTCCAAGTTCCTCCCCACCTCCCTTCCCAGAGCTACTCCTTTTCTGTCTCTTATTAGAAAACAAACAAACTTCTAAGGGATGAGGATAGAATGAGATAAAGCAAAAGCTAGCACATTGGAGTTGGACAAGACAAACAACCAGAAGTAAAAGAGCCCAAGAGAATGCACTGGAATCAGAGATCAATTTGTTAGAACATTCAGGAATCCCATTAAAAAAAAAAAGCTAACCTGGAAGCCATAATATATATACAGAGTACATGGTGCAGATCTGTGCAGGCCCTGTGCGTGCTGCCTCAGACTCTTGTGAGTTCATGTGACCCTTGACCATGTTGATTTAGAGGGCCTTGTTTTCTTGGTGTCCTCTACTCCCTCTGGTCCTTAAATTCTACCTCCTCTTCTTTGGTGGTCCCAAAGCCATGAGGAGAGAGATTTGATGTAGACATTCCATTTAGGGCTGAGTGTGCCAAAGTTTGTATAATGTCTGGGTGTGGGTTTCTGTTTTTGTAGGAGGAAGCTTTTCTGAAGATGGCTGAGCAAGGCAATGATCTATGAGTATTGCAGAATGTCATCGGGAGTAATATTATTGCTGCTTTTTTTTCCTTTTGTTTGTTTTAGAACAGTAGTATTTGGTTTTACCCTAGGTCTCTAGGCTATCTAGTCTCTGATTCTTGGTCACCCAAGCAGTGTCAGGTATGAATTCAATTTAATGGAGCAGGTCTTAAGTCAAATCAGATTTTGGTTGGTTATTTTTACAAGCTTTGTATCACCATTGCCCTGGCATATTTTGCAGGCAGGGCAGTGTTATAAGTCAAGAGGGTTTGAGGCTGGCTTGTTTATGTACTAGAGATTCTAGAAAGTAGGGATTAAGGCTCTATGTAGGCACCAGCTCGATTTCTCTATGTTCAACCATTGTGAGGTGCTGTCCTCAGAGATGTGGCCTTGTTGTCAGTTTGTGGAGTACAACCTTTAGTCTTGGCAAGAGCCTGAGTTGTTTGGGGATTCTCATGGGACTGACCCCTATAGTCAACAACTCAATTAGATGTAACACAACCCTGGTACTGGAAACTTCATTTGGTGACAAGAGATGATCAGTCGGGACTCTGTCTCCCACAATATTTGACAGTTTCATTTAGATCACCTTTGTGTATGTGTGTGTGCGTGTGTGTGTGTGTATGTGTGTGTGTTTGTGTGTGTGTGTAGCACAAAGATAGATATTGGGGTTCAAGCTGAAGATCAGAGAAGCAAATATTGTTAATTTCTAGTTTAATTCTCCTGTTCTCAGGGAACATACTTTGTATAATTTCAGTTCCTTAAGTATATTTAGTTTTGTTTTGTGTCCCAAAGAGGCAGGTGGATCTCTGAATTCGTGGCCAGCCTGGTCTCCAGAACAGCCAGGGTTATACAGAGAAATCTTGTGTTGAAAAAAATGAAAATAATAATATCCCAAGTGTCTGTGTTTCTTCTTGCTCTATTTCCTTTATTGCATTGTCTTTAAGGTCGAAGTTTTATGAATTTTTGAGTCAGGGAATGCCTGAAATGATTTTTTTCTCTAAATAATATGACCATTAGTTTTCTGGGCAAAGAATTCAGTATTCTCAACAATTTTCTTTCAGAACTTTGAAAGTACAGTTTCATTGTCTTTAGTAGCTATTATTTACAGCAGTATGGTGTTTTGTTTTTTTTTAATAGGTGGTCTATATTTTCCCTCCATGTGTGTAAAATGGAAAGTTGCAAAGAGCTAGGCACTTCTCACATGTCTGTAATTCCAGCAGTTTGGGAGACCGAGGTAGGAGTTCCAGGCCAACCTGGGTACATAGTAAGGCCTGACACCTCCCTTTTTCCATAAAAACAGATGTAGTAGTTGGTTGAAGTAGAGCAATCTTCACTATTGCCATTCCACAGTATTTTTTAAATAATGGAGAAAAATAGTGATTGAAATGAAAGTCTTCTCCCCACTTGTCCTTCTACAATATTTTTAAAAAACACATCAGTGAATAACATCCCATATTCCTTCCACCCTTTACATGCACAGATTTTGGATTGCAGTGTGACTTACTGAAACTTTTACCCATTAAATCTTCTCAGAGCAGTTCAAAATAAAGTTCTTTAGGGTGGTTTGTTATTTTAGATTGAATGTATATGTATATGTATGCATTACCTAATTTTCTTAATCTTGATGTTTTAAAGCTTGTAATTGTTTTCTGTCAATGTTTTAATTTAAAATGCATAATAGCTTAATTTTTTAAAGTTATACCATATCTTCCATTATTCCTTTTATTTAGTGATTCTTGTATTTTAATTCTATTTCTTGTATGAACAAATTTTAATTGTTTCCTATCAATGCTTTAATTTTAAATACATATTAACTTTCTTTTTATGCTATATCGTATCTTCTACTCTTTTATTTAGTGTTTTTTTTTTTTTTTTTTGGGTTTTAAACATAGATCTTGTGTGGACAGTAATGACCGCACGTTTCCGATTGCCTGCTGGCAGAACCTACAATGTCCGAGCATCAGAGTTGGCCCGAGACAGACAGCATACAGAGGTGGTTTGCAACATTCTTCTTCTGGATAACACTGTACAGGCTTTCAGAGTTAATGTGAGTATTTTATTTTCTCCTCCTCCTTGCCTTAACATTACCATGATCATCTCTGGATATTAGTCTGAATTTAGATTTATTTTAAAACCAAAACCATTAAGTTACAGTATAGTTTGAACATTTTTAGTTAAGGAAGTCTTTTTGATACAAGTTTATATCCAGTATGCCTGCTCATTCAAACTAGATGTTTTAAAAAGTGCTGCCCACTGACTGTTCACAAACAGCAGAGCATCCTAGTTTGTGAACAGATCAATAAACAGTATGTGGGTGGTTTTATAATGTGCATGACAGTGCCTGAAAATAATTTCTTATCCTAGATACCTTCTTAATATGTTTCACTAAAGCCTTATTTGTATTGCTTGTGAATACAACGTTTGTTAAAGATATGTAGTAAGACTGATCTCTGCGAGTTCGAGGCCAGCCTGGTCTACAGAGCGAGTTCCAGGACAGCCTCCAAAACAATAAATACAGAGAAGCCCTGTCTTAAAAAAACAAACAAACAAAAAACAAAAAGGAAACAAACAAAAAACCCTTTATTTTAATGTGCATGGGGGTTAAGTGGAGCACACATGCCACAGTATCAATGGTAGAGGTCAGAGGACAACTTTGTGGAACTTATTTTCTCATTCTACCACTTTTACATGGGTTTGGGGATCAAATCCAGAGTGTTAGACTTTCGAGGCAAGGAACTTTATCCACTTTACAGTCTTGCCAGTCTATTTACCTGTTTTTTAAGCTTAAGTTTTTCTGTGTATTACTTAGTATGTAACAGGATCATTAATTTATCTTTCAAAAAATCTTAAGTTTCATTTCACATTTGAAAATAAGTTGTGAAATATTGAAAATATTATTTATGAGATTATTTAACCCAACAGTTCAGTGTGCTGTCTGAAATGTTAGATTTTAAATTTCTTATTTTCTAGGTTGCCAAACAGAAATAGAAATTAAAGAGAATTCTCCTTCATAAAAATTCCTGATAATATAAATTATGTATCAATTGACAAAATGTCTTTTTGCTCCTGTTATAGACTCAGATCTTTTTTTTTTTTTTTTTGGTTTTTCGAAACAGGGTTTCTCTGTATTGTTTTGGAGGCTATCCTGGAACTCACTCCATAGACCAGGCTGGCCTCAAACTCACAGAGATCTGCATGCCTCTGCCTCCTGAGTACTGGGATTAAAGGCGTGCGCCACCAATGCCTGGCTCAGATCTTATTTTAAGTTAATATAAAGTTTTATTTTTTAATTGTAGTTAATATTTACTTAGAACTATTCTACAATCATATTTTTATATTTGTTTATTTTTGTTGTACTGGGGATTGAATCCAGGGCTTTGCACATGCAAGGCAAACACTTTGCCACTGCACTCTGTTCCCAACCCCTTTCTATTTTTCATTTTGGGACAGACTTTCATAAAGTTGTGCTGGCTGGCCTTGAACTTGCTTGCTCTGTAGTCCACACAAGCCTTGAATTTGGCAGCCTTCCTGCCTTAACTTCGAATTGGTGGTTGTCCTAAGGTTTCTATTGCTGTGAAGAGACAGTATAACCATGGCAACTCTTATAAAGGAAAACATTTAATTCAGGTGTCTCACTTACAGTTAAGAGGTTTAGTCCATGATCATCATGGTGGGACATGGTGGCGTGCAGGTAGACATGATGCTGGAGAAGGAGCTGAGAGTCCTACATCTTGATCCATAGGCAGTGGGAAGTGACCTGTTTGTCACACAGAGCATACCTTGAACAAAGGAGACCTCAAAGCCTACACCCACAGGGACAAACTTCCTCCAACAAGGCCATACCCCCTCTAACAAAGCCATACCTCCTGTAAGTGCCACTTTTTATGAGTTTATGGGGCAATTACATTCAGAGGACAACAGTGATTTTACAGATCTATATCAGCAGCCTAGTTAGTCATATTTTTAAAGAGAAATTTGGGAATTTCTTTCTTCTAGTTATTGTTTCATTAGTTAACAAATACAAAAATAGTTTTGAGTCATTAGGCTATTTACAAAGAGACATGACTCTCCCCCTGTGTGTGTGTGTGTGTGTGTGTGTGTGTGTGTGTGTGTGTGCGCGCGCGCGCGCTCCTCGCGCCTTATTACAATACTATTATTTCAGTAAATATTAAATACTGTTTACTAAGTGATTACTCTAGTTCTTCCTTCAGATTGATACATGAATTCCATTAAAAAGTTTTTATGTGGGGGAGCATGCAGAAAATCTCACAGGTCACAAGAAGCATCATCCCACAGAACTGGAATTATAGACAGTTGTGAACTGCCATGCCGGGTGCTGGGAAGTTAACTTGGGTCCTCTGCAAGAGCAACCAGTGCTCTTAACTACTGAGGCATCTCTCCAGCATCACATTAACTCCTTAAAAAATACTTTTTACACATAATGTATTACTTTAAAAGAAACAATTATAGCCGGGGTGGTGGCGCACGCCTTTAATCCCAGCACTCGGGAGGCAGAGGCAGGCGGATCTCTGTGAGTTCGAGGCCGGGCTGGACCGATAGCCTCCGAAACAATACAGAGAAACCCTGTCTCGTAAAACCAAAAAAAAAAAAAAAAAAAAAAAAAAAAAGAAACAATTATAGATGTAGTCAAGGGCATAATTAACAAAACTAGAGTTCAAAATTAGGGGTCCCTTGCTTCATTACTCCTTAGACATAATCAATATTCATTACTTACTACTCATTGTTCTGTATGTTTCTAGTCTTGTGAGCTTTTTTGTTTGTTTATTTGGAGAATGAGAATTTAGGTCTCAATTCCATCCCCCTTCTGTATACAAATACTTTTGTCTTCTTTTAAAAAACACAGTAGGTATGTAATAATATTTGGTTAGTTTAGCCTTTGTTTTCCCCAGAGGGGAAAAAAAAAGGCTCCAATTATCTATCTGGCTTGAGTTTGGAGAGCCCAACTACATGTCATCTTAGTGAGTGAGAGAAAGGGGTTTGAGTACTACCAACTATTCAGTGTGAAAACCTTCACTGCCTATTTTCAGTGCAGTAAAAATGAATTTTTCCTGATGTCCTTTAGCCCAGAGTTGAAGTTGATTTTCTTCAGAGCTTCTACCCCCAAATACCAAAAACAAGAAGCAGGAGTTTGGTGGTGGTACATGATGGGGAGTGGGGGTCGTGGAGACTCTCATCAACAAACCTTCTCAATCTTATGTCTTCTCTGGAGTTAATTTTTCAAAGATGATTTGTACTTGTGTTTCTAGAAAAATTGGCTTGTTCCTGGGTCTTTCTCACATTGCTAGCTTTGTTTTATCTTTTTAAGTTGCTTTTAATTTTAAAAATTTTTGTTAGTATTATCTGTTCTATGCTTTGTTAATCCCAAAGATGCTAGGAGAAAAGATCATAAATTATCATGGCCAAATTAATTAAAGCAAACCTTTTAATTCATGTACGTAGCCTGTGTCTCCCTACAAATGGGGTTCAAAGATCAGCATTGGATGTGAGGAAGACATTTTTATAGCTTAGGGGTAGAGGGTTTCCAAATAGGGGATTTGGCAGGCAAAATACATGGGGTTATAGGAGCAGAACATAAGCATAGCAAGTTAGTCATAACAACCTTTTGAAAGAAAGACATGATTACAAGGTAGTCATAACAACCTTTTAAAACAAAGTTAAGGTTGCAAGATGATTTTAAAATAAAGGTATGGTTGCTGTTTCCAGGAAAATCGTGGCATAGTCTAATCCTTGAGAAACAGAGCTTTAATCATAAACAGGAATAAGCCTACTTTGTCTTTATATGATAATATCATTTAACCCTAAGATGGAAGCTTTTTAGTAGCTGGTTCATTAGCTATTTTGTTATTTAAGCAAGCATTTTTGTTTAGACTCCCTCAAATTGATTTTCAACAGTGAGTGTCTGCTTTGAGAAATTTATTGAATACAAAACTTTTAAAAGTAAAATAAAGCTGGGTGTGGTGGTGTATGCATTTAATCCTAGTTCTTGTGAGGTAGAGGCAGGTGGATTTCTGTAAGTTCCACGTCAGCCTTGTCTCCATAGCAAGTTCCAGAACAACCAAACCTCATCTCAACCCTCTCCTAAAAAAATAATATAAAATCAGGTATTAAAATGGAAATGGTCATTTTAGTGTAAAACACATGATAAATTGTGAATTTTGAAATATATGAGAAATTAAACTTTGTATTATATGGTGGAACTTAGAGTCATTTGGGGTGCCCTTTTGACTGTAGTTGTTTATTATGCTTGAGGAAACTGTTAATCAGATTTATAGTGTGAACTGTTGACTCAGTTTTTTTTTTTGCCTATTGCATTTTCATTGGGCCAAGTGTAGTTCTTAGGTCTCTCTCATGTTATATTTGCAATATATTAATTTGTTACTGAAAATGAATTTACTTCTACTGAAAAAAATTCTGGTAGTTACCCTACTCAAGTTGGTCTACCTTTGTGCTAATGTTTGTTGAAGTATTTCCCTCCCTCCCTCCCTCCCTCCCTCCCTCCCTCCCTCCCTCCCTCCCTCCCTCCCTCCCTCCATTCTTTCCCCTTTCCTCCTGTTTCCCCCTTTCCCTTTTCCCTTCCCTTTCTCTTCTTCCTCTTCTCTTTTCCTTTTCCCTTTCCTCCCTTTCCTCCCTCCTCCTCCCCTTCCCTCTCACCTTCCTTCAAGTCCCCCTTTCCCTTTTCTCCTTCTTCTTCCCCTTCTTTTTTCCCTTTCCTTTCCTCCCTTCCCCCTCCCTCCATCTGTTTTTAGGTTTTAGAGATCTGTGTTCTCTCTATGTAGCCCTGGCTGTCCTGGAACTCAGTATGTAGACCAGTCTGACTTCGAACTCAGAAATGTGTCCACCTCTGCCTCTCAATTGCTGGGATTAAAGGCCTGTGCTTTCTTCCTTCTTTTTTTGAACAGTCTTGCTGTGTAATGCTAGTTGGTTTAGTACTAGCTATATAGCTCAGGATGGTTTTGAATTAATTTCAGTCCCTTCCTCCCTCAAGACTCCCACATGTACACCACAACTTGTAGTTTTATTTGTGTT